GCACCAGAAGAAAAGTCAGAGGATTATTAAAATTGTTACAATTCATCTTCAGGGGGAATATTTAAACAAAATCAAATTGCATTTTAATTCATTGGATATTTCTGGAGATATTCAGCTTAGAGCCAAATGGCACCCTGACAGACCAGTTATTGCCATTTTGATATGCTGGAACAAATCTCGAACATATTTTTAACTTGACAAATTCAGGGATGTGTTTATCTTTTATTTTATTTATAACGTTTGGACCTTTCTTTTTGAAAAAATGCAATTCTTTTTCTGTCTCACAGTTTTGACCACCAAGACCGTCAATGTGTTTGTCAGTCAATTGTTCTCTCATCGTTCAGATAATATTCTTTTCTTTGGGTTACTGATAACCCTTATAACAGTTATATAGGTTGTGACACCTTTCTCCTCTCTCTCTCTCAAGTTTGTCTTTCTCCGTTTGTCCATTGGTGGGTAACTTTCCAAGCTAGCTCCCTCTGCAGGCTCACTGCCCAGATCCCAGGACATCAAAGGGCTCACTGGAAAGCTTAGGGAGGGTGATTTTTTTTGGGGGGGGGGGGCACAGGGGCCATGATGAGCTTCCACAGGTTCCCATGGGAGAGCCATGTCTCGCAGGTCGATGTCCTCTTCTCATCTCCTAACAGTAACTGTCATCGGTGGGTTTTTGAGCGAGCACTGAGACCCTTGTGGTGGTTTGACACAAGCCCAGATCCTCTGTTTCAAAGAGAGGGCCCACCTTCAGATGAGACCCAAGTTTGAAAGAGGAGCTTAATCACCACGGTAACTTGTCTGTTGGTACCCCCCGACCCCACGCACTCATACATACACTGTCCTCCAGTAAGAGGCCCTTTGGACAGTGGAGGATAATAGCATAACAGCATAGATGTACCATCCCGGCTGCACTCGAAAGAATTTATGTGTAAAAGAAATCTCAAAATCACAAAGTGGGGCTATAATAGAGAACAGCATCTGATTAGCAAATCAAATCTTTTATATTTTGTAAAATACTTGTGTTTCTAAAAATGTGCTTTCTTTCCAGGACTGGAAGCTAGGCTGGCTCTGCCCAACATGGTTGAAAAATACATCTTTCAACACCTCTAACGTTGACTGATTAACATGTTGTTTCTCTTTTGTTTAACTTCTATGGAAAGAGAAATGTAAAAACAACAATTTGTGGTTTTAGGGAGAGTTATGTTTTGAAGTTAAATTACAAAGTGACTACTTTCTACAGAAGAAATAGTCACCAAGAAGCTGTTGACAGCTTCCAGACTAACTGGACTGTCTCTGGAAAGAGATGTTGATGAATTTCTTAAATATATGTATTTTTTGAGAGCACCACAAACAAAATCCCATTCATCTCAATTGTAATGTGGGATATATATAAATCATCAGATACCTAAAGCTGCTCTAATCCCTATTTTTATTTGAACAATGGATGAAGTGACAATGTTTACGTGAAAGGGGCCTGTAGTTACACTATCAGCTTTGTGAAGGAAAAATGTTCCTACCTGGTGTATTTATGAATGAAAATGTAAGATGCTGTGGCAAGGCAACTTAACTTTTATTTTAAAATGTTGATTGATATTATCTAACACACGCACACACACACTTTGCAAGCAAAGCACATGTACTCAACTCCTTATACAATAAGATACAGCTACAAATGTCTCTCGCCACCCCCTTACCTGTGCACTTGGTAAATTTTCTTTTAACCATACTTAATTTGTGGCCTTCATTTATCCTTTTAGCTAGTAACACTTTTTAATGTAATGTTATCAGTGTTGTGTTTACAGCTTTCGTGTTTAAAACATGAACAAATAAATAAAAAATAAAACCAAAATTAGCTGCCTAGCCTGATACCACTAGTGCACATGTGCAACTGTCTATTGTGCATCTGTTATTCAAAAGTTTCTTAAAAAGATGAAACATGGGCTGTAAATATGTTCTAATAATAATAATGTGCCTAAACTGTATTAACATGGATTTATTCTTTATAACAGCCTCATGTTTTCTGGATAATATCTGCGTAAAAACATATTAAGACACCCTTCAGCACATTCCACATTCAGTACGGGCGTGATTTATGAGGTGTGATGGACTGAGCTATTTTTCACAGTCGGCTTATCACACCTGTGTCTCCTATGGATGAATGTCTCAGTTGTGCATCCAAACGTCCCCCCCGAGATATCCATTTAATTTTTTACTTTAAATATGTGGGGCACCCTGGGCCAGACCACATGGTTCACACCTTTAGATTTATAGCACCCAGAGAAGCTTTGCGTCAGTGTGAAACCTCACACGTAAGCTAATAGATAACTCATAATATTACCGACAGGCAAAAACGTCTGAGCAGTTCGGTGTGGTGTTCACACTGTATATATTTTCTATCTATCTTTTATATCTTTATATGTGGATACTCCTACATTTCTGGATGTGTGTGTGTTTGACACGGCAGAGTCTATCCTACATCCTCAGCTAATTATAGGCCACTGATCTCGTCAGCTGTCACCGCCACACTCTTTTTACATGTCAATGACAGCCAAATGGGACCTCATATCCTTCCTCCAGCTCATACAATGCTCTCATTGAAATCATAAGAGATGGAGAGAAAACCAAAAGAGGGAAAGCAAAGGATGCCACTCCTCGTCCCAGCTGGCGTTTGCTCAATGGCAGAGGCCACCGAGTCTTGTCCGTGAAATAACAACCACTCCTACTCCTCTCCTCAAATCCTCCCCTTCATCCTTCACCTCTGCCCGGCCGTCTTCATCATTGCCTGGGCCTAATCTGGGCACGTTCGTGGGGACCAGCACACAGACTCTGCCTCTCTGCTTCCTTTTGTGTTTGCCAGCGCTCTGGGGAGAGAAAAAGAGAAACAGGAGGGTGCAAGGGGAACAGGGGGTGGAGGTGAAGGCAGCAGTGGCAGTGGCTGCTTGGGTTTATCTTTTGCTTTCTGCAGTTGGGGGAAGAGGAGGAGAAGTTGGCAGGATGCCTGGCTATGGCACTGCATACAAACAAAGGGTGGACAACACAAGGCCTATTTGTTTGACTCTCCCATCCTCTTACCTCAAGGGGGAGTGGAAAGAATTGCATGAGACAGCCATAAGATACGGTCCTTTCCTCGTCCCTCAGGACAGCCATCGATTCTGCTTAAAAACAGCTGGGAGAATGGACAGAGACAAGACAAATGGAACGCAGTCCACGTCAGGAAATCATTGACCATAATTCAATGAAATTAAGTCAATTTGTACAGTAAAGACTTGGCAGGATGCCCAGCCTTGTTTGCTGCTTTAAAAAGCTCTTTGATTAAATATAAAATACAGCCATTATGTGAATCTACAAAACAGCATCAGGAGAGTAACCGCAATTTATCACTACAATATGGCTCTTGCTAGACAAAGGGCTGACAATGTCAAAGCTGGATAATCTCTTCCCTTTTTTTCCACTCTGCATTACATTTTAGTTCATGTAAATCTCCTTACCATGATCTCCTGTGGACTCAAAGTAGCTGACATCAGCGCAAACTCCACAATTCTCTCTGATTTGTGGAAGATGAAATCTTTACCGTATGTACTGAGCTTGTCTCTCTCGAGTCCACGCTTACATGCAAATAAAGATGCTTTCTGGGGCCGCTGATGTGAAAGGGGACATCGTCGGGTTCCCAGTGCAGCTGCGAATAA